ATTTCAGCGGTGTATGATGAGTATTTTCAGTGACATGGTTGAAAAGTTTCTTGAAATCTTCATGGATGACTTCTCTGTATTTGGTTTATCATTTGAGCAATGTCTTCACCATCTTACTCTTGTTCTTCAGCGTTATCGTGACACTAATTTGGTTCTTAACTGGGAAAAATGTCATTTTATGGTTAAAAAAGGAATTGTTCTCGGTCATAATATCTCCGCTGCAGGAATTAAGGTAGATCAATCCAAAGTTGACCTTATCTCGAGTTTACCCATTCCCAAAACTGTTCGGGATATTAGAGCTTTCTTAGGTCATGCTGGTTTTTACCGTTGTTTCATTAAAGATTTCAGCAAGATAGCAAGACCTCTCACCCATCTGTTGGGGAAGGATATACCCTTTGAGTTTACCGATGCCTGCCACTCTGCTTTTGAACAATTAAAGTCAGCTCCCACCACTGCACCCATCATCCGTTCGCCAGATTGGAACTTACCTTTTGAAATCATGTGTGATGCGTCGGATTATGCAGTAGGAGCTGTCTTAGGTCAAAAGGTTGAGAAAGCACGACATGTCATCTATTATGCTAGCAAAACCTTGAATGATGCCCAAACCAACTACTTCACCACGGAGAAAGAGTTGTTAGTCGTCGTGTTTTCTTTTGACAAATTTCGCTCCTATTTGATCGGTTCCAAGGTCATTATCTATACCGATCATGCTGCATTAAGACATCTTTTGTCTAAAACAGATGCCAAACCTCGGTTGATCCGTTGGATCTTACTTCTTCAAGAGTTTGACCTTGAGATTCGTGATAAGAAAGGCTCCGATAATGTGGTGGCCGATCATTTATCCCGTCTTGTTGTTGAGTCCATTACTGAATCCATTCCAATCTCATATGCTTTTCCAGATGAACAAATATTTGCAATAACTCATGCCCCATGGTATGCTGATATTGTCAATTATATTGTGATAAGTCAAATTCCTTCCACTTGATCCAAACAGGAGAGAGATAAATTCCTAGCTAAGGTTAAGGAATATTTTTGGGACGACCCCTACTTGTTCAAATATTGTCCAGATCAAATCATCCATAGGTGTGTCCCTGAAATAGACTAAGGGTCTGTCATTTCCTTCTGTCATGATCAGGCCTGTGGAGGCCACTTTAGCTCTAAAAGAACCGCTGCAAAAATCTTATAGTCAGGATTTTATTGGCCTACCCTTTTCAAGGATACCCACACCTACTGTTTGGATTGTCATAGATGCCAATTGTTAGGTAAGATTACCAAGCGTAATGAATGGCCCCAACAACCCGTTCTAGTTGTTGAAATTTTTGATGTTTGGGGTATTGATTTCATGGGACCCTTTCCTTCCTCATATGGATGTCTTTACATCCTTCTAGCTGTTGATTACGTGTCTAAATGGGTAGAAGCCTTAGCCACCAAGACAGCCGACCATCGAGTTGTGGTGCGTTTCTTCAAAAACTTAATTTTATCTAGGTTTGGTACACCTCGAGCCATTATAAGTGATAATGGTTCACATTTTTACAATAAAGTCTTTGGAAGTTTATTGTCCAAATATGGTATCACTCACAAAGTGGCCTTGTCATATCACCCACAAACCAATGGTCAAGCTGAGGTATCCAATAGGGAAATCAAACAAATACTGGAAAAAACAGTTAATCCTACACGGAAAAACTGGACCCTTCGGCTTCAGGATGCTTTGTGGGCATACCGAACTGCTTACAAGACCCCTATAGGAATGTCCCCATACCGTTTGGTTTTTGGAAAAGCCTGTCATTTGCCAATAGAGTTGGAACACCGTGCTTATTGGGCCATTAAGGCCATGAATTTCGACTCTGATAAAGCCAGTGAACATAGGAAACTCCAGCTTGATGAGTTGAAGGAAATTCGAAATGATGCCTATGAGAGTTCCAAAATGTATAAAGCCAAAACAAAGTTGGAACATGACAAGCACATTCTTCGAAAGGATTTCTTCCCCGGACAAAAGGTTCTTTTGTATAACTCCCGTCTTTAATTGTTTCCTAGGAAGTTACGGTCACGTTGGTTTGGCCCATACTTTGTCAAACATGTGACAAGTCATGGTGCAATTGAGGTATAAGACCCCACGACTGGGGAATTGTTTAAAGTTAATGCTCATCGCTTAAAATCTTTCCTTGAGCTCGAGTCTCATAAAATTGAGGAAATTCTCCTCATCGATCCTGTCTATTCGGATTAATCTCTCTGGGGGTACTATCCCCCTTGCGGTTGGCTGAAGACATTAAACTTAGCGCTTCTGGGAGGCAACCCAATTCCTTATTTCTATTTCTTTAGCTATGCTTATATTTTGTTTGGGGGTACAATCTATCATAATTTCAGAACATTTGGTCTCTCTTTTGCAATGACTATCTGCAGGGATTGTAGTATTGTACTTCAGAAACACCAAATCAATTGAGGTAATTCGTTTCAATTTTTCTTTTTCTCCAGTGGTACATTGTCCATTTCATTCACCACTTTTCAGTGTTCTATTTTTCAAACACTAGGGACAGTGTTTTATTTTGTTTGGGGGTAGGACAGATTTATTAAAACATGTACCTCTTTTGAAAATCTTTTCACAAAAAAAAAAAAAAAAAATCATGTTTTTTCTACTTTGTGAAAGTTAAGAGATGTCATTATTCTAGATTGAGATTGAGCTTGTTACTAAGGTGATATAATGATAGACATTGCACCATGAGAATTTATAAATAGAAATATTTTTGCACAAAGTCGCAGCTTGAAAGAAAGAAGTGAATAATCTCCCAAGAATCTAGAAATCTATTACTAGAGACTTAAAACCATGTGAGCTTTCGTGCCTTTCATCTTTTTAGAGAGTTTTATGCTAACTCTGAGTCACAAGATGGCTCAAATTTCTTGGATAGTGCGATAAAAATTTGTTGTTAGTCTCATAATCCTTCATCTTGGTAGATCATTGAGAATGAAATCACATCGAGTTAAGAGAAACATAAGTTTTCTAGTTTACTATGTACTATCATACCTTTATTGTCTCTTGTAATCTTGTTATTTTTTCTAAGAAATGTTAGAGATGACTGTATGTAAAAGAAAAAGTGATCAAGAAGTCATTCATATCCTCTTCAAAAAAAAAAAAAAAAAAAAAAAAAAAGAAGAAGAAAGAAGAAAATGAAAAAAAAAAAAAAAAAGAAGAGTAAATTATCCCTTTCAAGTATTTTGAAAACCCCTCATTCTCAGAAACATTTTTGTACAAATTGAGCTCAATAATGTTTATAGAAAATGTATGATAGTGCATAGTAAATAAGAAGGCGTTATGGTGGGTGACTCGACATTCTCTCAAAAGTGATCAACATTCCTGTCATGAGACTCTTCTATTATATGTATCGGTCTTTCAAATAATTAGTATGTGAGCTTGATTTTACTTTGGAAACAGAGTTCCTACTCACATACATTTGAGAAATACAGTTAGCCAAATTCTCGAGAGATGTTATTTTAGAGAGATATTTACTGTGAGATTTGAAGTCAAAACATAGTTTTCTAAAGACTTGGGAATTTTATCACTTGGATTTGAAAATGGATTTTTGTTGACTTTGCACACACACACTCTCTACTTCTAAAGTTGTTTATGGGTGAACTTTCTTGAAATATTTGTTGTTATAACACCTTAGTAGCTTGTTGTATATAAAGAACTTGATATTTTCATCTCTGAAACTTTTCATTTTGTAAATATGCAGGAAAATTCTTTGAAAGTTTGTGGGTACCTTCACTGGAAACCCTCACGAGGCTATAACTCATCCACTAGGGGTAACCTAGTGGTTTAAGGCCTTATTGCATATGGTAAATGCAATCGAAAATAGCATGCGAAAGTGGCACATCTTTTTGTTAATAAAAGTAATATTTTTTGTAAACTTATCTATTTTTGCCTTTCTTTGCTAGAGGACTACCAAAAGCTTGTTTGGGGGTAGTTTGATAAGTACACAAAACCTATTATTTTATGCACCAAAATAATCTTTTAATTAGACTTTTTATTATTTAAATATTCTTATATGTTTGTTTTGTGTTTTGTAGGTATTAATGCATGAATGAGAAGAAAATAAATAAAAAATGGAAAATAAATGAGGAGAGAGAAAGAAGAAAAGAAAAACAAAAATGAAATGATATTCACGTAAAGAAAAGAGAAATGAGGAGAGAGAAAGAAGAAAAGAGAAAGAAGAAAAGAAAATAAGGGAAAGAAAAGTCAACAAGAAAAGGTGAAAAGGTGGTTGATGCATAATGGCTTGATACAGAAGTGGGCAGTGGTCAGAGTAAGGTATAGCTAGATGGCGTGAAGGAAATGAAGAAGCAATTTGGGCCATCATCACATCCTACAAGTGGGTATCTTCCTTTGGCTATAAAAGACACACTTCGGAGGCAAATGAGGAGGGGAGTTAGAGATAGAGTTGGATAGATTTAGAGAATTATAATTTATTTCTTTATGTAATTTTCTTTAAAGTTTGTTTAATTTAATGCAAATTATGTCCACAAGTTTCATTCTCATTTAATTTCTAATTCGAATGTTTAATGTTTTATAATTGTAATTTAATTTCCATAGTTCGTGACAAATCTCAAAATTAATATTTTTAAATCTCTTGCTCGGAAATAGAAACTCACCTTAAATGCGTAATTCGACCCTACTTGTCATTAGACATTTTTAGTTAAATGGTTGTAGGTATTTTATATGTTAATATGGAATGTATTTGACAACGACAAGTCCATAAATACACCCCTATCAACCTATCACAACCTTTGGATGACCCAAGAACCCAACTGAAATAATGATTCAAGGGCACCTTTCCAAACCATCACCACTCAATGGGAGCACTTCAAACCCCAAACACTTCCTTTTTCCAGTTTTTCCAGTTATATTTCTTTTTCTTGAAGATTGAATTTCGAAATGTCTCTCTCAATCCTCATGAGCAATGAGAAGGCACTAGATGGCAACCAAAGTAACTTGAAAAAGAAAAAAAGAAGAGCAAGAGGAGTGGAATTATTAAAAATAATCTTCTTGCATATAGTATTAGAAAACAAGTACGCCATGTTAGATTATACGTATGTAGCATGTGAATTATGTGTACTAGTTGAATAAAAATGGAGAGAAAAAAAAAAAAAAATTTAGTCATGACCCAAACAAAGTCTTAGATAAATTATAAATCCAGCCGGAGAGAGTTCATTAGTGGGATTAATCAAATAGTGAACCAATAGAATTGGTCACTATTGACAGCTCTTCTCCAACGACTAGTTTCACTATAAATATTTGTGGACATTGAATACCATTGTCATCATCTCAACCAAACCTCTCTACGACTACTAGCTCTTTTAAACTAGCTAGTTCTCTCAAAGCCAAAGAGAGATTGGATTCAGATCCATTGGCCGGAGCTGGTGAATTTTCCAGCAAGAGATGGCGTTCCACGGCGGCGACCCCTTTTGGGGTCGTCTATGGCCACAATTGTTAGTGGCATTGGCCATTGTGGTTGTTTCAAATAATTTAGTCTCGGCGGACCCTTATTTGTACTCCTCTCCTCCACCACCTTATGAGTACAAGTCACCGCCGCCTCCTTCGCCTTCTCCACCACCACCTTATGAGTACAAGTCACCGCCGCCTCCTACTCATTCTCCACCACCGCCATATGAGTACAAGTCTCCACCGCCACCTTCTCCTTCTCCGCCGCCGCCATATGTGTACAAGTCACCTCCACCACCTTCTCATTCTCCACCACCACCGTATGAGTACAAGTCACCGCCACCGCCTTCTCCTTCTCCACCACCACCATATGAGTACAAGTCACCTCCACCACCTTCTCATTCTCCACCACCACCATATGAGTACAAGTCACCTCCACCACCTTCTGATCCTTCTCCACCACCAGCATATGAGTACAAGTCACCTCCACCACCTTCTCATTCTCCACCACCACCATATGAGTACAAGTCACCTCCACCACCTTCTCCTTCTCCACCACCACCATATGAGTACAAGTCACCTCCACCACCTTCTCATTCTCCACCACCACCATATGAGTACAAGTCGCCACCACCACCCTCCAAATCCCCACCACCATATGAGTACAAGTCGCCACCACCACCCTCCAAATCCCCACCACCACCTTACTACTACAAGTCCCCACCACCACCTTCACCATCACCTCCACCACCTTACTACTATAAGTCTCCACCACCACCCTCCAAATCCCCACCACCACCTTACTACTACAAGTCCCCACCACCACCTTCACCATCACCTCCACCACCTTACTACTACAAGTCTCCACCACCACCCTCCAAATCCCCACCACCACCTTACTACTATAAGTCCCCACCACCACCCTCACCATCACCACCACCACCTTACTACTACAAGTCTCCCCCACCACCATCACCCTCTCCTCCACCACCATACTACTACAAGTCCCCACCACCACCCACCAAATCACCACCACCACCTTACTACTACAAATCTCCCCCACCCCCTTCACCATCACCTCCACCTCCTTACTACTACAAGTCCCCACCACCACCATCTCCTTCACCTCCACCACCTTACTACTACAAGTCACCACCACCACCATCGCCATCACCTCCACATCCCTACTATTACAAGTCTCCACCACCACCAGCTAAATCCCCACCGCTGCCACCACCTTACTACTACAAATCTCCACCACCACCATCCAAGTCCCCTCCCCCTCCATACTATTACACTTCTCCACCACCACCTTACAAGTCTCCTCCAACTCCATACTACTATACTTCTCCACCACCACCTGTCCCTCACCCTCACCCTCACCCCCACCACCACCCACTGGTTGTCAAGGTGGTCGGAAAAGTGTACTGCTACAGATGCTATGACTGGACATACCCAGAAAAATCTCATGACAAGAAACACCTCAAAGGTACAATTTTTTCCCCTTAATTAAACATGACCTTATTTTACAGTCTGTTATGTCTATATATGTTCTATAGATATTCTTCTTCTTTATTGCAGTATATCCTTAGTATTGATTAAATGTGTGTGCATGTTTGTGTTTTTTAACTTCTTGTAATTGGGATTAGCTATTAATTTATTGTTTAAAATATCTCATGGGGAGATGTAATTTTAATTTTGAAAATGATGGGTGGTAGATCAAATCACTATTAGGAATGTACTTAATCTTGAATATATATATATAGTAGTGTGTGTGTGTGTGTATATATATATATATATATATGTTTGTGTGTGTGTTGCAAATGATGTGTTCTCAATTTTACAAATTATATTTATAATGGCTAAACAATTATTATTCACTGATTAGTACAGTTTTCATTAATTAAGTATACAGTAAATCTTTGGATTTTTATTAATTTGATTATTTTTCATTTAATTAACTTATATGAGATCTCAGAAATGTCAGAACACTGCCTTTGATGTTAGTTTTTGGTTTCAGGGACCATGTTACCCTTGCTGGCATACAATTTCCAGATACTATAATGATGAAAACATACATACATACATACATACATATATATATATATATATATATATAGTCAGTGACTATATACTCAGTCAAAAATCAAAATTGTCACAATAACATTTGTTCTACATAGGATGTTCTCATTGTCAAAACTAAAAGAACAGCTATTAAAGTAGCTTTTACAACTGTGGAGAGTTACATTACTTTAACAGTGATCATATAGGGGATTGCATGTGTGTGTGTGTGTATCTATATATATATATATAGAGAGAGAGAGAGAGATGCCTTCCGACAAGAAAGGGAGCAGTTTAGACTAGATTTTTTAATTTAACATATGTTGATCATGTGTGAGAACTGAGAACTGCTCAAGAAAAATTACAAAGATAAAGTTAGTTATGGAGTTGGTAAGAGCTTTATATATGTTTTAGTTGACTTTTTTTGAGTGGTGGTGCTAACATGTTTCGCGGTGTATTTTACTATTCTATGTACATGGATCAGGTGCTGTTGTTGAGGTGATATGCGAGGCAGGTGAGAAAAAAATTATGGCCTATGGTAAGACCAAGATCAATGGTAAATTCAGTATCACCGTTGAAGGGTTTGACTATGTCAAATATGGAGCCAAGGCTTGCAAGGCTCATCTCCACATGGCGCCAAAGGGTTCACCATGCAACATACCAACTAACCTCCATTGGGGCATGAAGGGTGCTAAGGTCACAGTCAAGTCAAAGGACAAGTATGAAGTTGTGCTCAAGGCCAAGCCATTTGCCTATGCTCCCAAGACTCCTTACAAGGAGTGTGAGAAGCCTAAGGCCAAGCCTACCCCTACTCCTTACATCTACAAATCTCCACCACCACCACCACCTACCTACATCTACAAGTCTCCGCCTCCACCACCGGCTACTTATGTATACAAATCACCACCACCACCTACTTACTACTACAAGTCCCCACCACCACCTTCGCCAGTAGTACACCCACCTTACTACTACAAGTCCCCACCTCCACCTTCTCCATCCCCTCCCCCGCCTTATTATTATAAGTCTCCACCTCCATCGTCTCCATCCCCTCCCCCGCCTTATTACTATAAGTCCCCACCACCACCTTCGCCAATAGTGCACCCACCATACTACTACAAGTCCCCACCTCCACCTTCTCCATCCCCTCCCCCGCCTTATTACTATAAGTCTCCACCTCCACCGTCTCTATCCCCTCCCCCGCCTTATTACTATAAGTCCCCACCACCACCTTCGCCAATAGTACACCCACCATACTACTACAAGTCCCCACCTCCACCTTCTCCATCCCCTCCCCCACCTTATTACTACAAGTCTCCACCTCCGCCTTCTCTATCTCCACCTCCCCCGTACTATTACAAGTCACCCCCACCACCATCGCCATCTCCCCATCACGATCCTTACTATTACAAATCACCTCCACCACCATCACCCCCACCGCCACCACCCTACTATTACAAATCACCCCCACCACCTTCGCCATCTCCTCCACCAACATACTATTACAAGTCTCCACCACCACCATCACCCTCTCCACCACCACCATACTACTACAAATCTCCTCCCCCACCATCGCCATCTCATCCTCCGCCATACTACTACAAGTCCCCACCACCACCATCGCCGTCTCCTCCCCATCCCTATTATTACAAGTCCCCACCACCACCCTCACCATCACCTCCACCACCTTATTATTACAAGTCCCCACCACCACCCTCACCATCTCCTCCACCACCTTACTATTACAAGTCTCCACCACCACCCTCACCATCTCCCCCACCACCTTACCACTACAAGTCTCCACCACCACCCTCCAAATCACCTCCACCACCATACTACTACAAGTCCCCACCACCACCCTCACCATCACCTCCACCACCATACTACTACAAATCCCCTCCCCCACCATCACCATCACCCCCACCTCCTTACTATTACAAATCACCCCCACCACCATCAACATCTCCTCCTCACGATCCCTACTACTACAAATCCCCTCCACCACCATCACCATCACCTCCACCACCCTACTATTACAAATCCCCCCCACCACCATCGCCATCTCCTCCACCACCATACTACTACAAGTCTCCCCCACCACCATCACCCTCTTCTCCACCACCTTATTACTACAAATCACCTCCCCCACCATCACCATCACCTCCACCACCATACTACTACAAGTCCCCACCACCACCATCACCGTCTCCTTCTCCCACATACTACTACAAGTCCCCACCACCACCCAAGTCGTCTCCTCCACCTCCTTACTACTACAAGTCTCCTCCTCCGCCATCTCCATCTCCCCCACCTCCCTACTACTACCACTCCCCACCCCCACCATCCCCATCACCACCTCCTCCCTACCTTTACAAGTCTCCACCACCACCGTCGTCATCTCCTCCACCTCCCTACCACTACACATCTCCACCACCACCATCACCGTCTCCTCCTCCACCTTATGTCTACAAATCCCCACCACCACCATCTCCCTCACCACCTCCTCCCTATGTCTACAAGTCCCCACCTCCCCCTTCACCATCTCCTCCTCCCCCATACCTCTACAAATCACCACCCCCACCCCTGAAATCACCTCCACCCCCGGCCTACATCTACGCTTCTCCACCACCGCCAACTCCCTACTAAGCTCCAAAAGCTTAGCCATTCACCAGCTCCAGTCATGTAAGTAATTCATATTACAAATTTATGCAATTTATAGCAAGTATGTATATATATGATCGAGACATGGGTCAATTCAATTGTAATCTCATTAAGTTTCTTATGTTCATTTGCAGCTTTTACTTTCAAAAACAGAATAAAGGAAGGGTCCATGAAAAGTGTATTCAGAAATCAAGCCTCCAACATCCCTAGTCAATTCAATAAGGTCATGAACATTGCATTTGAAAGCTTCAATCTTTGCATTTGGGACCAGTTTACTTCTACCTCTCTGGTGGCCACCCTACACATTTTGCTGGTTCTATCTTTAAGTGGGAATGGCAAAGGCTTAGGGCTTGGAAGTGGGTGAAACTATCCGCTGGTTGTCTTTTTTTCCTTTAGGGTTGTCTATTATATAATTTATTGTATAGAGGATTATATGGTCTTGTATGATTGATCATCTATTTATTATGAGTTATTTATTTGTACCTTGTGCTAAATTGTTTCTAATAATGGTAGACATTCCTGTCACAAATTTTTTTCCCTCTCCACCCAAGAAATTATTTCATGGTCCGTAATCATTGGTCCCAATCAGTAACTAGTTGAGATGAAAGCAAATCTTTGAAAAGTTGACACCTTTACTTACGCGTTGACTAGATCGGCCCGAGACCAGTACCATGTAACCATGCATTTATCAGAAGTAACAGCGCAATCTCTCTCTCTCTCTCTCTCTCTCTGTCTATCCCTGCCCGCATGCTGCATGTGTGTGAATTTTTTTTGCGTGATCATAGACTTGTATTCATAATATGTGCTGTAGCGAGTCAGTGACTAATGAGCTTTTTGGTTTGTGCATGCTCTGTCCTTTCTGTTATAAGTCCACATTGAGCACTTGAATTCAAGTTAATTGTAATTGGACAGCATGTATGTGACCAAATATGGTTAAAGACAATACATGAAATTCGTAGAACCTATATGATTGTACAGAAATTAAGAAAGTTCGGTGAAATTTTGAGTTTGACCTTGGATCATGGTTATTGATCGAAATTACTTACATTTGGACTGCCATTCAAAAATACCATTCTATGTGGATAACTCAATAATAGTACAAAACTTATAATCTTAAATTTTAGGGATCTTAAAAAGATAATAAGTTTTGTTCTATTATTGAGTTATTCATATATATACTTTTTGGATATATAGATTTATACTAGGATTGATTTAGGTTATAACTCCTCTCTCTTTCTATTGTCTGTCATTTAGAAGTGATTGTCTATCGTTGACCTCTAAGATAGAACAAATAGAGGATAAGAGAAGCGATGGTTTACACTACATCGAATGTCAATTGTTCGAATTCGCTGATCTCGGACTCGTGAATTTAACCAATACAAAACTATTCACTAATACCTAACTTTTTTGATTAGGTGATTCAATCTGTTTCTTAAAGTAATGGAAGGTGTTTCCAACCGATCACGGTACTAACCTCTTCAATTATGTCTAAGTACTCTGTATCAACACAACTAAACCAAGAGAACACATGGACCACTCTTTGTTTACAATAATATATAGTACTGCATTGATTGAAATACAATTAGAATAATCTTCTACAAAATTACCAACAACTCTTTTCTTTTTGTTTCAAAAGTTGTTATGTCAGTCCTGATCAACACAACTAAAGCAAATATGGACCACTTTTTTGTTTACAATAATTTATACTGATTTGGTTAGCATGAATTGAAATGCAACTAGAATATTCTTCCTACAAGATTATCAACAACTCTTGTTGTTATGTCAGTCCTGAAAAATGCTTCAAACCCCTATGTCCCCAACTTCATCCTACCTAGAATTTTGACTCTCCGCTTGTTTGTTTGTCTTGATACACAGCTCTCTCTCTCTCTCTCTCTCTCTCTCTCTCTCTATATATATATATATATATATATATATATATAGTATCTTGTTTAATACGGTGCTTTCTTAAATGAATTTCTGACTCTCTTCTCGAGTAAAATTTACTAACCTAAGTTATAGGGAGCAAGAGTGCGAAAGGGGCAAAATCAAAAGGGATTATTACATATAAATGGGGTTAGGATTTCATATTTACCAAGAGGCTGAGTCAAAGTCTCATATTTCTTAAAAATGAGGTTGACTAAATTGATGACATGGCACATGAATTATTACTGTTTAAAACTTGTGGTGCCTAAAATGCCCTTCTCACTATTCCAGCACATTTACCTTATTGCCCCCGTTTAATTTAGTCACCCAACTCTAAAGCATTGTTGCCCTAAAATACACAGTCGTGCATCACAAATCCAGCGAAGCAAGCCCAGGCAAACACAGCATCATCGAACATGGAACCCTAACCCTCCCTCATCTCATTCGTGAAGAGCCCTCTCTCTCTCTCCCCCCATCTCTGTAACAGGATTGAAGCGTAGCCGTTGAGCCCTAACCCTCATTCAAGCCCTCTCTCTTTCCCCCTCTGTAACAGCGAAGCACTTCTCCACGTCTAACCGTCGTTGGTGCGCCCTCTCTGTAACCCAGCGAAACACTTCTCCACTTCTGCCATTCATTTATTGTTGTTCTAGTAATATGGTAAGTACTCTCTCCCTCTTAACACACACACGTTTATTTTTTAGATGATTATGGTCCTGATTTAGTGTTATAATTTTTTTTTTTTTTTTTTCCAATTGGATGTCTGATTTTCATGTAGGTTATGTTTATCTATATTCTCCTCTTATAATTTCTATTATGCAATCATATATATATAATTTCTATTCTGCAATCAAGATTGTTGTTGCTCTGTTTGTTGTATATGTTTGAAATGTGCGTAACAAAATGTTGCTCTCTTGTGCGTGACAAAATTAATTTTTAAAACTCAGTTTTATCCCACGAACAAAGGCAAAATTTTCATAAAGTAGATATTTAATTAATCAAATGTTTTTTTTTATTTTTTATTTTTTATTTTTTATTTTTCTTCTTCTTCTTTTGTAATTAGGTTTGCTTGTTTTTGAAGAGTTCATGCTTTCTTTATACGTTGACTAAACTGAAATCCCAAATGTTATCCTACAATCTTTCCACTAGCATGGGTTTTCATAGTTAAAATACTCGGAATTTGCTGAAAAAAACATAATTAAACAGGATAAAAAACAAATTTCCATGCATGTCCTTTGTTACCTGCTGAATTTTTTTTTATAGAACATTAATCTGATCTTAAAACTTAAACGTTGTACTGTTAATGCCTACCTGTGTATAGTAGAGATTCAATGTCCCTAAATCCAAATAATTCATGTTCTTTAAATTTACTAGGACCATGTGGAAGCAAGTGGCAGTACGTGTGGTGCCTACAGGCTTTTTGTTGGATTTCACTAGTTAGCTAACTAGCTTATGCCAAGGTAACAAGCTTAAATCCTATCTTCATAAGTCATTTGCTCTGGAGACCTTATGATACAATCAATAAATGTAAACTGTAAAGAGGCATGCATGTGATAATCTTTGGGTAGGGACACTTGTTATCAAATGCTTGTGAAATCTACATTCCCATTTGCATTTGCTTAATAAAAGAATTGTTTAAGATTACTAGTATTCGTTCTACAATATTAAATTAAAAACAGGTTTTTCATACATACTATATTTGTTGTGGTTTAGTGGTTGAAATGTAATTAAATATAAAATTTGAGTTTGGTTCAATTAAATGAAAATGCTTTATAATAATTTCATGATTAATATCTTGGGTGTTAAGAATCACTAATAAAGATTTTAGTTCTCAATATAAAACAAAAGGGAAGAAGCTACTCTGTTTGGATCTTTGGACTGTGACTCAGAGATGAAGTAACAAATCTTCATGGTTATGCTATGATTTGTGCCTTAGCTTACAAGGTTGGAAGTCTTTGGTAAATGTTTTCACTAGGGAAACATAGCATTTTAGAGCATGTCAGTGATGGCCTTGGTGTCTGATAGTTACCAACATTTAAATAAATTAGATAAATAATTCTTTTTAGTAGACTGTTTGAATATGTTAACATTTTTGAACGATTAAAAAATTTAGTCTAAGATATTGCCATGCAATGACCAGAAATGGAAAAGATTTCTTCACCATCTGTTCATGAAATTTGAATGGGTTTAAACAACAAATTTCTAGATATGCTCACAAGTTCCCCCCGCGCCCCCCCCCCCCCCCCCCCCCAACCGGTGAAGAGTGCAAGCTGCTTTATACCTAAGCCCAAATTCAGTTGAAAATACAAGACACGAACAATAATGGGAAAACTGTTATATGACCTTTACGTCTAAATTGTATTTACGGGAAAAGAAAGAGAGAATGAAAGAAATAAGTAAATTTCGATCAAAATTCTGTCCAAGACTGATGCTTTGGAAGTTATTTAGTTTCTAACGAGATGAAAAAGAGAAAATATAAAGCAGTAGGTAGTTATCTAAACACCAGTTATATAAATAATAATAAATAAATAAATTAAGTACTTATTCAGTTTTATCAAAAGGGATGCAGAAAAACCCAAAAAGATAAACATATTGTCATAAAACAAGACATAGCATTGGTAATACTAATACCTCTTCGGGCATTGATTCTCTTCTTGAATAGCCGAATTGGGTCATAACCCTCCAAACACGCCGCATAAATAATTATCCTGACATTGAAATTCAAGCAATTTTCAACCCATCAAAGAACCAAAACAAATAGCCCGAACTCTCTATATATATACACACACAGAAAAACAAAAATTGGTAAGAGGGGGACATACAAGGTGATCTCTCTGGCGGCTCTGGGGCTGCAAAACCTGCCACTCTCGTCAATTCTGGGCAGCATTTCTCTGGGAGATGAGAGAGAGTTTGCCGATTTTTCAAGAACTTCCCCAACAGCCGTGAGAGCTGAAGAAGTGCGAAGAGGAGAGCTTAATAGAGAAATTAAGCTTTCTGAGAATTAGGTTTTGAGTAGCATTCTCTATACCAGATCAGAATATGACACCTCTTTGCATTATTTGGAATCAAAGTAGAAATAGAAGTTAGAACTAAATTGAAGAGTAACACTACTTTTTGTATAAATTGAAGAGTAACACTACTTTTTTATCTAATATATTCTACACCCGTGCATATATATAAATATATTGTGGAACATACATATTAAATTGATGACTTAATATGAATGCCACAATTAAACACACTACCTTAGGGGGGGTATTCCCAAAGTTTCTCATTTTATCTGTTCAATTTTCTAATAATAGATAATAAATAATCTCCTATTGTGTACAGAATCACAACACTTACTCCAAAAACATATTTTATATATATATATATATATATATATATATATATATATATATAATATTGTGAGTTGAGTTGAGAATTTCACTTGATAGAGCTTTAATGTCAAATAAATAAAGAAAGACATGTTTCATAAATGAGGAGTGAAGAGGTTGAGGGAACACTGACAATATTTCTTTGTATTTTGCTCTATTTTGAAAAGGCTACATGAGAGAGCTCTCTCTCTCTCTTTGAGGTGGATCTGATTTTTTTGGTCCAAAACTCTGGCACTACAATCAAACCAAAGACACCACCTTTATGTGAAGGTGAATACGGATACTACATGTCTTTGCACCAGGAAAGGAATCAAAATCAAAATCAAAATCAAAACAGCTAATGGGTGATTTAAAGTTTTCAATGGGAAACAGATAAGTGTAGTACTACTAAAGTCTTTTTTAAGAGAAAAGCCTTCAAACATGGTAGAGTTTATAGATTTTTGTGGGGATTGCTTTATTAAATCTGCCTATGCTCTTTTAGCTGCATTATATATTTTTCTCGCAATCGAGATATACATGGTTTTACCCCACTAATTCTCGGAGCTCCCAAAGAATTATTTGTACTCATGAAAGCGTAGTCTCAAAGAATTATTTGTACTTATGAGGAATCTAATTTTAAATCTGGTGCTTCATGTACTTTTATTTTTTGATTTTCAATTGTATCCAAACATCTTATTTTTTTTATATTTCCATTAAAATGGTATCTCTCTTTGATTTTGGATCATGTGTGTGATTATGAAATTATGTGTTGATTTGTAAGGTTGCTTTCAGCTTTGGACAAAAATAAAATGAAATGCTCTTTGAATTATCGACTCTCAATTAACTATGTTGGCAGCCTATTGCAATCGATTAGAATGATTAATAAATTCTTAAAATTTTGTTTCTTGTGAGGGAGGGTCTAATTTTGTAATTTTGCTTTAATGGTATTTGATAGTAACAGAAAAATTCAGTAAGTTAATATTTATATTTGGTTTTATACTAAGTCGCATCAAGTGGTAGATAGAGCGCAAAAGCAACAAAATTAAATTACAAACAAATCGTGAGAATGGGAGCTAGATTTACACCTGTTAAAAAGAATTGTATGACCTAGATTTTAACACAAACACACTTGTCATAGGCTAGCTACACCTATTGTAACTTCTGCGGCTAGCTATTGGTCACTGTTCTTGTTTTTTTGAGTGTGTTTGGATCATAAAAAAACAAACATATTTCAGCCACTACATGAATAGCTTCCCAATGAGATTGAGGAAAAACTTCAAGACAAAATGGCTGAGCTAAATCTAGTTTATGATTATGTTAAGTGCTGTTAGGAGGAGATTGAAACAGCACTAGACCGTCAATAAGCACATCAATCTTAAGAATCATAGTGTGAACTGTACTCTAATACAGGTCCATAGAACACGTGTGCCATTAGGGGAGAGAAAACCCTAACGTACCTCGATTTGGAAGGAGAAAGAGAAGGAATGAGAGAAATGGTATAATAATACTTGTTTAACCTTCCAAAAAAAAAACCTTTAGGAGTCATCCAAACCAACATGAATTTGTTTTCATTTTTACAAGAGTTGGGCTGAAATATTTAAACATAACACGACTTTGTCATATATATGTATGTTTATACATGATTTTAACACACACACACTAGCCATAGGCCTAAATACCACACATTCACTAGTACATAATGGAACACATACACAAAACTAGTAGTAATCATGATGCAACTAATAAGCTCCATATGATCAAAGTAGTTTCACGGCTTATTTATCATTAAGCAGTAGTTGCCATGGACTGATATAGATATATATTCAAAGCATATAATTTTAAATTTTTAAGCTCATTACATCAACAAACTATCAAGACTTTCATTTTATTTTCGTCCAAATCTGAAAGTAACCTTACAAATCAACACATAATTTAATAACCACACACATGATCCAAAATCAAAGAGAGATACCATTTTAATGGAAATATCAAAATTTAGTTAAAACCATTAATACTGACCATGGTTATATCCATTTGAAATTTTAAATTCACATTGTCAGTTACAACCAATACACACCACAATATTGCTCGATAGCTATGAGTAGTATCAATTCACTCCGTTAGAAAATAATATCTATGTAAAATCAGCTATATCTGTATCCTCCTACAAAAAGAGTCAGAATTTATCAATTTTTTACTATTATTTTTTACATGGAAATTGAATCCTTATTTGGAAGCGACATGAGATACCACTCAAGCTGAGTCTTTTGGATGGGGAAGGGTGGTAATAGAAGTGGAAAAAGTAAGTAATACAAAAAATAAAAAATGGTTCCTATTAGAAAGAATTCTGAAACTTAACAATTTGTTCAATTTTAAGATAACCAGACTATTTACGGGAATCTTCCATGCCCACATAGTCAGAGGGCCAAAGAAGAATGATTTTATTTGTTTTGGTAGCTTTTTTCATTCAAGCTATATATTCAAGGCTCTTTGATGACTGCAGACTAAATCCTCAGCAGAACCTAGGAATTTAGGAGTTAAAATTCAAAGCCACCAACACATAGGTAGTCCAATTAGTTTTTATGTATAATTAATTATTATAACTCAATTTAGATCAAGAATTATTCAAGATTGTTGCCTCTTTCTCAAATGGCATGTAGAGTATACTTCTGTGTAATATGTCTTTAGGCATCTACGCACATGATAGAATTGATGCAAAAGCTAGCAAACTCTATAAATGAGGCTTTTTTAATATATGTATTTAGCATTAATTTATCAAAAAAATGTATTTAATATTAATTTATTATTCCAACATTCCCTTGTACTTGTCTCCCCCATTTTCAAGACTTACACATATAAATTATGTGTGTGAAAAATATTCAACACTCTGCTCTCTTTCTATTTGACTCTCAATTTTTTATTTTCAATTTATATTGTCCCATTTAACTCTCTATTCATCTCATAATCTCCCTCATCTTGTATATATGTTTGTTGTACACATAGTGATACAATTATCTAGTAATCAATGGCATTGATTTTGTGGTTGTATTTTGATTTGAAAAAGGTCTGTAGTGTGTGTTTAGGAAAAGTTTAATCTTGACACCGCCTATCCCTATTAAGGGAATTAGTAGTGTTTCACTGTAAATAGATCTCTAAATTACATTATATAATTATGATATTTAATTGTTTTATATTTCATTATTTTTTGAACTTCATATTTAGTTTTTTTTTTTTTTTTTTTTAACTAATGAGTTAATTTTCGAAGCAGTTGGACAAATGGATGAGAGACAAATTATATGCTATTGTCGATTTGATGGGAAAATTGACAAAAATGAGAATGGGGAAATTATATACATCGGCGGTGTCACAGACCCTTTTATGATAACAACAACAACAACATACGAATCATTTATAAATGAGTTACAACAACGTTCATCTTCAAACATGAGTGGTAAAGTCATATATTATACCACCGAATCTAACAAGAATGAACTTTTAAGGATGACGGGAGAATCTGGATTTAGAGTGATGCTTGTAGTGAGTGGTCCCATGCTAAATGTGTATATGGAAGATGCAGCGCCTGTAATTGCATCATGCACAATTCCTACTGATCATAGTGAGAGGTAAGACACATATATTTAAAGTAATACATTGATGTATGCGCTGCATAGGTTATGTGATTTTTAATATACCTTTTTATCCACTTGTAGACAATTTGTTGAAGCCACATCGCCAATTGGTCTTCTACAAAGTGTTGCGTCAACGTCTTCATTTCCTCCGATAAATGCGCATCGGGATTCTTTCTGACACATTGATGACATTCTTTGCGTGGATCAGCTTTTTGACAGCCCAAATGATTTCAAAGATGCACTCGTTTTGTTTGGTCTTCGTAATCATTTTCGGTTCAAGTACTTGGACAATAGCAGAAAATATTATAGAGTTGTGTGCGGGGTTAATAATTATCCATGGAAATTGTCAGCTGGTTGTGAAGGAAGTGGTGATATAGTGAGAATCAAGCGGTTTAATAATGTTCACACTCACACTGCTCAAGACATTTCAGATTATAAAGCCATTTTTTGGTCGAAGGAAATGGGTCGAGCTATTGTGAACAAGGTTAGGGACAATCCTAAATGCACCCCCAAGACTATTTCCATAGACATAAACGGTGAATTTTCTGCTAAAATGACTTACATGCAATCGTGGAGAGCTAAGGAGTGTGCACGTCATATCATTGAGGGAAATCCCAAGGATAGCTATATTTTAGTCCCGTGGTTGTGTGAACGAATAGCAGAATATATTCCTGGGACAATTACATCGTGGGAGTGCACGGATGATAGGAGATTTAAGCGAGTGTTTGTAGCTTATGGGTGTTCCATACGAGGTTTCATCAACTATTGCAGACCCATGTTAGCAATCGATGCTTGCCACTTGAGTGGCAATTATAAAGGAACAATGCTTGGTGCAACGGGGTTCGATGCGAATGATGGCTTGTGGCCTTTGGCGTATGCTGTTGTTTCTTCTGAGAATGATGATGATTGGCATTGGTTCTTGAGCAAGGTGAAAGAGATTCTAGATGGTCGCATTGTGACAATCTTAACCGACAGGCATCCGAGCCTAATAAGTTGTATTAGAGATATTTTTGGCTCCCAGTACCACTCATGGTGTCTTCGTCACCTAACGGCGAATTTTTCTACATCCATTCTTGGGAGACAAAGTTTAGGATTGAGGGCTTCGGGTAAAGAGCATGCGAAAAAATTACTCGATAAAATTGCATATGCTCGAACTGTAGATGAGTATAAGAATGCATTGGCTGCCATGCGGGTATTTCGAGGGGAGTTGTGCGATTGGGTTTTGGCGAATTCACCTGAACATTGGTCAAATGTTATATTTACTTCCAAGCATTGGGATAAATTATACACCAATCAAGCAGAGTCCTTCAATGCATGGGTGAAAGAAGAGAGGGTTTTTTCAATCACAAGGCTGATGGATACACACATGCAAAGGCTCAGCAAATTTTTATACCAAAAAAGTTTGGACGTTCAGAAGTGGACTATCCCGGTTGGGGATCGTATTGAGGAGAAAATCAAAAAAGAGCAAGAGTTAGCACTTGGTTTTCAGTCGATGCGTGTTTCGCCTACTGAGTGTACAATATATGATCGAGACAGAAAACCATTCAGGGTGGTATTTGGCAGTGAAAATTCTTGTAGTTGTTTGAAGTGGACCATGAGTGGGATTCCTTGTTCACATGCATGCTATGCCATCTATGAATTATCTTTAAATATTTATGAGATGGTTGATCCATGGTTTAGGGTTGAAACACAACAAAAATTATGTGAACATCTCATGTCTTCTGTCCCCATGCATGATATGCCGAATCCAGCTGCTGTTGCTGCTGCTGACGGTGAAGGTGCTTCCCATCTTAAGCCTCCTGCGGTAACACGTCCCCCTGGACGACCTCGTATTAAACGAATCGAATCACAATTTCAAAATGTAAGGTCGTTACACTGTTCGCGATGCGGCGAGAATGGTCATAATCGTCGAAAGTGCAAGGCTCCTATACCTGGATAGAATAGTTATATAATTGCTAATTCTAGTGGAGTTATTTTGTAAGGTGTTAAGGCCTTAAATATGGAATTATTTTGTAATTACTATTAATTCCTTGGAGCTCCCTTACTGCATTAGTATAACTATGTTGTGATAGTATTTCTAACTTATTTAGAAAACATTTCTAAGTATGATGTAACTTATTCTAAGTTGAATCTGTATTATTCGTCTGGTGGTTTATTTTGGTATTGAAATTATTTTCCTGGGTCCTCGTATGAGTCTCATGTGGGGTGTTATTTAAAAATCATAGGTGTGTGAGTTTTCTGGCAGCTGGAGGGTCGTGAAAGCAAGGAGGTTATGGGATTATGTGACAATGGACGGGCTTACATGTTACATGCTTACGGAAGGCTAGGAAAATAACATCATATTAAAGTCATTATGACTTGTTTCCTTACTATTAATTCCTTGGAGCTCCCCTACTGCATTATGACTGTTATTTCAACCACAATTTACCTCGTGAGTCTCTCTCTTCCTCACTTTCTTTGTGTCTCAAAAATTATATGAACATTGTGTTTACATTATCAACATTGTTTGACAGATGAGGCTGAATGGATAAATCAGTACAAAGGAAGAGTGTTCAGTTTAAACGACAAGCCTGTGGTGCACAAAATTTGGCTGCCGAATGAGGAATGCCCCAGATTGGCAATGTCTAGAGCCTTTGGGGACTACTTTATTAAGGATTTTGGACTTATATCCGTCCCTGAAGTGAGGTGTTGTCACATATAACCAGCAGAGACCAATTTGTTGTGTTGCGAACCGATGAGGTATGTATGGCACTTTTTGGTATTTATCACTTGTTCTTTTTTATACAATGACATAGAGAAAAGAGTAGTTTGTTTCTCTATTAAATGTCCAAAAGATCACGTGAACGAATACGTTTCAAACTCACGAGCATAATTGACAATAATCACTTCAAATTATGTGATATCAGTTATTATTAATGAGTTTACAGGTTTTTGTTTTGGCTCAAATTGATTGGATTTTGAAATTAGTATGGATTTTTGAAGTTAATCTTAACATGCTGTGATCCTTGTTTTGTAAGCAGAATTTTTCCTATCTTTTCCTTCAAACCTGATTTAATCGGTAAAAAAATTTATTGATTTAAATTGATAGAAGAAAAATTGTGTGTTTAAGCTTCCAATGGACTTGGTTTCATGCAAATTGTTTGAGAATTTCTTTTTTATTGATTTTTCAAAAGGGAAGTATGTATTTCTGGGAAAAATTGTTTCAAATAGATTTTCGGGCTTCCTTCTGATTTTTTGTGGTCCAAATAGTCCAATCATATTTGATAGAATAAAAAAATAAAGAAACAATAATAAAAAGGATTTTGCTATAATCTTAGTTGACTACTGTTACCCCATTTATTTATTTATTTTGTTTAGAGTCTTGCTTTTGGTTACTAGCGCCTAATAAAAAAGTTGTCTGCTCATATGTCCCTTATTTTTGAGTTTTTTCATTTAACCATCTCCACTTGTACAATATTTTGGTGTTATATTTTGTTTAATTGATTTGCATGTACTTCAAATGTAGTCTTCCCGCTAGGGGCTGGGAAGAGATAACAACGGGAGCGTCGATTGCATGGCTATCAAGTACATCAAATTTTTGGCGTTATATGGTCTTTATGTTCGATAAAAATCTTTTATGATTGCATATTTGTAATGCTTTTTATACTCATACTCGGGGGGGTCACATGCCTTTAAGTGACCAATTTTATGGTGTATCTTGAACTTTATTACCTTATTGCTACATCGGCCCATGTGGAGGCCATTTTTTTTTCTTGTGACAAAATGTTGAAAGCATGGGAGTATGGGATCATCGTATGTGGAGGTTTTGATTGATTGTTGTGGAGGAGAAGTTGTTGATATGTTTAATGAGTTAATGCAAGTTCTCACGTTCTTCGTACATGTTGATATGTGGAGGTTTTGCTAATTTTCTCTTAAACCCAACTCATTCATCAACGCTCTCTTGCTCTCTCTCTCTCTCTCTCTAGTCTTGTTCATCGTTTTGCTGGGATTTCTACTCTGTTTTTATACAATTTTGATCCCTATATATATATATATATATATGCTGTTCCTAAAACATCAATTTTGGATTCAGGAATTGGACACAAAAATGTCGCGATTCCCTCTCTCCGATCAGAAACTTCGAAGGCAAAATTTGTGCGAAAAAGTATGTGTTTCCATCTGCTTGTGTGTGTTTATGTATGTTCACCAACCAATTGATATTTTCGGCTTTCTGTTTCGTTGCAATGAATTCAAGAAAACGAGAAGAGTATAAATGATTTTAGCTTTTGTATCAAATTCCTTTTGATTTTCTTTCTTTTGTTTGTCTTCGTGAATTTCTTGGACTTTTGGATTTACTGTGAACTACGGTTTCTTCGTCTAATGTTTGAATGTTTCTTTTTTTTTAGACGATATCTAGTGTTGTTTGCAATATCTTTAGATTTTTGTGGTTGATGTTCCCATTAATTTCTTGGATTTTGATTTTGTTTCACGTAAGGGTTTCTTTAGCATATTTGGATGGTTTATTGTCTATGAATATGAGTTTTCAGGAATTTAGGGTTTATTTGTTCAACTTGTATAGATTCTGCACGACTAGAATTTTTTACATCATTAGATAATTTTTTAAGTCATAGTCCTGTAGGTTTCTTGGTTTGGATTTCCATGGGATTCAACATGAAGATTCAGGGAAAACACACCCAATATGTTTTTGTTTCTATTTGTATAAATTTGGATTTACGTAGTTCTTTCTTTATTCAGAGAAATAGACCCAATAAAGTTTAAATAATCAATAGGTCCCATAATCTCTTGAGAGAGGTGCAATGAGATTGTGATCAAAGACACATCAAAAGAAGAAGGGAATTCAAATATATTTGATAATGAAACAATAGGTATAGCCATTTTAGGGCTTTCCTTTCACAATTCCTCATTGGGGGGATCCACAACACTTCTCCCTTTTTCCCTTATAACTTCCTCCCACTAATTCGAATTAGGTCTAGCCGTCCTTCTTCATTCTCCATTTTTGTGTATGCTTAGTAATGGGCTTAGAAGAACAAGATTGGGTAGAATGACCAAAAGATTCACAATCTAACATCTGTGACTTCTCATATAGCTTCCTCTCTATATATACCAGTCTCGAACCTTGACCAGTGGGTTTATAATTCAAACCATAAGCCAACAGGCTATAAGGTAAACCGGTAAGCATTTTCATTTCTCCAGTTGTTAGGTTTCTAAGTAAGGAAAAGAGATAATAATGTAATATTATCATATGTCCTATTGTCTTGGATTACAAAGAATTTTTACTCGAAAGGAACCAAAATAGTTGTAGAAGACAGTAACGACAGTTTCAGGTTTTGTTTTTGTGTTCCATATAAAGAAAATATTAGATTTCAAAATATACTCTCTTTATTTATTTAAATTTTTTTTTAATATCTTTGCCTGCCTTCTTTTGTCATCGCAATAGGCTTCACACTAATCTTGCTCCTGGGTTTTAAACTCTATGGCTGATTTTTTCCTGTCATTTTGCCTTTATATATATATATATATATATATATATATATAGGTTTTATTGGAAATTCACACTAATCTTGTTCTTTTGGGATGGCAGCTGGATAGGTTTATTCCCAACCGATCTGCAATGGATTTTGATTTTGCACATTACATGCTCAACGGTGGGATGGTAAGAAAGGAAAGCCCAACACCATGCTCTCCAGCCAAAGAAGCTTATAGGAAGAGGATCCTTGCTTTTAAGAACAAGTCTAGGAGATAGATTCCCCAAGTGGGTTTTCTTTCTTTCCTTTTTCTTCTTCTTGTTGCTAACCTCTCATTCTGATTTGTGTTTTGGATTGATTGCTTTCTTGTTGACATGTGTTTGTTTGGTAATTTAACAGTCTCCAGAAAGGATTCTTATTGTTTCTGAGCTCCTAGATGAGTTTTATTTGAATTTACTGGATTGGAGTAGTAGTAACATTGTCGCTATCGCTCTTGGGAATTCAGTATATTTGTGGAATGCTGCTAATGGTGCTACTTCTGCACTTGTTGTGATTGATGAGGAAATTGGGCATGTGACAAGTGTCAGATGGGCGCCGGATGGAGTACATCTTGCTGTTGGTTTAAGTAATTCCCACATCCAGCTGTTGGACCCTTCATCTTGTCGGATGGTAAGAGTTTTCTTTTAATTATGCTTTCGTTTTTTCTATTTTATTGATCATTTATGCTTTTGTTTCTTTAAACAGATTATTGTAAGTAATTAGATGAGGCATGGTGAAAAGTTGGCATTCTTTTTTAATGTTGTTCTGTTAAAAAAAGATGACAAACATTTTTGACTAGTTGTAAGAAACCCTGGTCAATAAAGAAAAATTTTATTACAAAAAATGAGATGATAAACAATAAGATTCAAAACACATTCTCGCTGAAAGAAAATTTAAATCAGAGAGGAAAAAGCCTAAAAATAAAGAATAGAGGCACTCACACCCCGAGTGGTTGGAGGAACGAAACGTTCAACCTCTTACTTTCCAGGAACTCTGCTCTTTGATATTTCATGAACTCATGTTTTCCATGATATGTAGGTGCTAAGAAGAAATTGGGCTTCTGTCAGTTTCTCTAACTGTATTTTGTGTGGAAAAAGAAAAACTTAAAGAAAAACATGGGTTTAAATGCAACACAAGATGCATTTTTATATCCCATTTAAGTTCTGCTAAAGTTGGTAGTTTCTTTTACCTTTTATTTAGTTTGGAAGAGAACAAAGTCCATTTTAGTGGTGAAGTGCAAGGTTGAATGAGGCATGTATCATTGAAGATTTTATTATACTGATATAATGCATAAAGTGAACTACTATGAAGGATTATGGCTTGTATAGTTGGCCTATATTTTAGAAAACAAATATTAGAACTAAGAGTTTTATATTCTTTATTTGGAGTGAAATGAAATGTATTTATTGCAAATTGTCACATTTCTCATGATCTAGGCATTAGATTTGATTTTTCTGGTGCCACCTCTCCATCCTGTACTCTAATTTGCTTGGTTTTTCTGAACAGCTGAGGACTTTGCAAGACGGGCATAGTTCAAGGGTTGGTTCTCTTGATTGGAACAATCACACACTGTATTAGAAAACTGTATTAGAAAATTAAAAGAAACCAAAAACTGTCTTGGTATGGATGATGGCTTTAGGATACTGCTGAAGAAAATACCAAAAAAAAAAAAAAAACTGTGTTGGTGTAGGAGTGATCCCAAAGTAGGGTTATTAAAGAAATTAAAGACTCAAAAGGTGATGTTTAACTGGTTAATCTTGAAATATAGTTGCAGTTTCTTTGTCCAGTTCTTTTATAATCCTGTTTTCTTACCCCTAGCTGAAAATATCCTATACTGGATCTTGGTTCCCTTTATTATTTAATCTATTACTACTTACATATCTTGTTCACTGATAATCAAGTTAAATTATACCTGTACTTGAGAATCCAATATAATTAATTGGTCTTTCTAGGTGTATACCAAAATTTACATGAAAATACAAAACCTTTGGAATTAAATTAGGCGGGTCACGGGGATTTAGACCTCCATTACCCAAATTAATTGTATGGGAAAGCAGTATTGTTTATCGGGAGTAGGCGAAATTAAGTTGCCAAATGCCCAAATTAGCACTAGTCTCTCTTATCTTGGTTTTGTTTATTTATGTATGTTATTTTGTTCGTACGTTTTGGTAGTAGTTTCTTCGCTACATTTTGTTTGTCAATGATGATGATATCTATTTGATTCATAAATGACAATCTTGTTCTTTCCCTTTTGTGATTAGCATACTGAATTTGAGACTTGTGTGATGCAGCTACTTGCTTGGATTTTGTACCATGGACAATGAGGTGATTTTTTGACAAGTGCAGACTGAAACTCAAGTGCTAGAAGGTTTATAAATTTGGTGAATAGCAGTGCTAGGAAATTGATGATATTCTTGACAAATGGATTTTGTTCCTGTTTTGGAACATTGATAAATGATGAATTGTTTTGGAACTTTAGTAAATGATGAATTTTTTTAATGTACAATGAATTTTTTGTTGTAGTGATAGGCAGACACCATTCATGCACAACTTGAAAAAGTGATGGATGAAATAATTTAAAGATTATCCAAATGATATAAATAATTTATAGGAGGAAATCTATTTAAAAAATAAATTAACATTATAATAGTTTTGTTAAAATAAAGACATTAGATTAGTAAATTGTAATTACAAATAGGGATGTCAATACTCTGCCTCATGACAACAGTGGCACTATTTATAACTTTTTCAAACACTAAGGCTTTTTCTTGATGATGTGACCATACCTCTTTATCTGCCATGGTGTAAAGCTGTTTTACATTATTTGGCTTTTTGTTCAATCACATGGCTAGACACAGAATGGGACTCTTACTGAATAAATCAGCTCTTGTAGATAAACAAAAGCAACCCACTTTCATATCTTATCATCACATGGCTAAAGTTAAAAATAGTGGTGCTAGGTGCATAAACACGTGAACTATTAAGCAAGACACCCCACTTCCTGCCAAAGAGAGAGAGGTGTAAGTCCCTTTTGTCAAATCATCACATGGGTAAAACTCATTCACATGTCTGTGAATTGGGCTTTGTAAATAGACATATGGCATATGCACAAAGCCATAACATTAGCACTAGTAAATCTCAAGGACTGAGTTTTTTGAGCAATAACGGGGAGGTGGAATTCATAAAAATACTGCATAAAATAAATCAAAAATACATACATTTCATATAATTTGGCATAAAATTTAACTCAACTACTAAGTTTTTTTGAGCAATAACGGGGAGGTGGAATTACAAAGTCATCATCCCCTGTATCTGAATAATCTGACAACTCTGAAGCAACTTATAAGTCTGGATCATTAGTAATGGCTTGAATAACTTCAATTGGATCCTTATGCATCTTCTTTGCAATGGAAATGCTCTCATTCCTGCAACATCTGACATATAGATTTTTTAATAGCTTTGATCAAATATGAGAAAAAATAAAGATACTACATAATCAAAGTGCACTTAGAAATCTATTTAAAAAATAAATTAACATTATAATAGTTTTGTTAAAATAAAAACATTAGATTAGTAAATTGTAATTACAAATAGGGATGTCAATACTCTGCCTCATGACAACAATGCCACTATTTATAACTTTTTCAGACACTAAGGCTTTTTCTTGATGATGTGACCATTCATCTTTATCTACCATGGTCTAAGGCCACTTCAAATTATTTGGCTTTTTTTTCAATCACATGGCTAGTCACAGAATATGACTCTCGCTGAAAAAATCAGCTCTTGTAGATACACAAAACCAATCCACTTTCTTATCTTATCATCACATGGGTAAAGTTAAAAATAGTGGTGTTAGGTGTATAACACGACAACTATTATGAAGACACCCCTATCATGCCAAAGAGAGAGATGTGTAAGTCCCTTTTGTCAAATCATGATATGGGTAAAATTCATTCACATGTCTGTGAATTGGGCTCTATAAATAGACATATGGCATATGCACAAAACCATAACATTAGCACTAGTAAATCTCAGTTGTTGATCTATGGATCGAAAGTATATAGAACGAAAGTACTCGTTAAGAGATGCATGGATTGAAAGTAGTTGTTTTACATTCTCAATCGTTCTCAAAACTATTCCATTTATAACTCCTCACATCGATGGTTCATTTTTTTATGTAAAACTAACCTGGCATATAATCATCGTCACCTCCATCGAGATTTGGTGTGTATTTATTTTTTAATGTGTTCAAGTGTGTATTTATTTTTCCGTCAATAAACGTTTTGATTGTGTTTCTACAAATGTACCCTGTATTTATTTTGCTATTATTTGGCTTCTATTCATTATAGCATTATAAGCTATTCCATTTTTAACTCCTCATATTTGAAACTATTCCATTTTTAACTCCTCACGACACTTCGTAAGGTCATGAGACCCCTCCGATGTATAAGATTTTGCTGCTTGCCATTGTCTTCAACCAGCAAATGTTCTTTCTTCATATATAAGAAAATACTAGGAAATCTCCTCAGTATATATAATAAGATACTAGGAAATTTTCGAACTCTAGTGAATTGTCTTCCATAAATTCATGCCAACCCTTGTAAAAATATTTTGTGTTGTTAACCTCTCTCACTTCAACCCGCTACGATTTGCTTGCATAACTCCTAATTATAGACTTGGAAGGTAAAACTCTATCAAATTGCTTAAGGAACGCTGGTGGAAGTTGCAGTCGTTGAGAGCTCCGTTCCGGGAGAAAAACTTTGAAGAACTAAGGACACTAATCAGGTAAGGAGAACTTTTTGCAAAGTACTATTTCATAATGGAACTGGCTTAAAAGCAGCTTCTTTACCTATTAGGGAGAGAATAATTGTTTTTAGGATATCTTATAGAATAAAAAATAAAAAAATAAAAAAATTAGCTTCTGTGTAATGTTTTAAGTGATGTTGGAGTATATTTTGTATTATTCATTCCCTCAAGTTAGATAGATTGGAATAAAGTTTGTACTCTTTATGGCACTAATGGATTTATTTATGGATGTAATGTGCAACCTAATTAGCAGTGTGGGTTATAATACCATTTTCAATTGCAAAAATAAATCCCTTTTGCGAAGGTACCACTTTTTTTCCAAATGTACCACATTTTTTGAACTGAATGTACCACTTTTTGGCGTCAAGGTACCACGTTTTCTCTAAACACTTATTCATGGCGCTAATGGAGCTATTTATGGATGTAATGTGCAAGAAAATTAGCGGTGTGGGGTGCAATACCATTTTCAATTGTAAAAATAAGTCCCTTTTGCGAAGGTACCACTCTTTTAGCCAACAGGCCATGTTTTTGAACTGAAGGTACTAGTTTTTCGCTTCAAGGTACCACGTTTTCTCTTAACACTTATTCATGGCGCTAATGGAGTTGTTTATGGATATAATGTGCAAATTAATTAGAATGCGGGGTGTAATACCATTTTCAATTGCAAAAATAAGTCCCTTTTGCGGAGGTACCATATTTTTTCCAAAGGTACCACGTTTTTGAACTGAAGGTACCACTTTTTGAAAAAAAGGTACCACATTTTCTCTAAACACTTATTCATGGCGCTAACGGGAGCTATTTATGGGTGTAATGTGCAACTTAATTAGCGCTGTGGGGTGTAATACCATTTTCAATTGCAACAATAAGTCCCTTTTGCGAAAGTACCACTTTTTCCCCAAAGGGACCACATTTTTGAACTGAAGGTACTTCTTTTTGGCGTCAAGGTACCACGTTTTCTCTAAACACTTATTCATGGCGCTAATGGAGCTGTTTATGGATGTAATGTGCAACTTAATTAGCGATGCGGGGTGTAATGCCATTTTCAATTGCAAAAATAAGTCCCTTTTGTAAAGGTACTACTTTTTCCCCAAAGGGACCACGTTTTTGAACTGAAGGTACTTCTTTATGGCGTCAAGGTACCACGTTTTCTCTAAACACTTATTCATGGCGCTAATGGATTTATTTATGGATGTAATGTGCAATCTAATTAGCGGTGTGGTACCAATACCATTTTCAATTGCAAAAATAAATTCCTTTTGCGAAGGTACCACTTTTTTTCCAAAGGTACCACGTTTTTGAACTGAAGGTACTAGTTTTTGGCGTCAAGGTACCACATTTTCTCTAAACTATTCATAGCGCTAATAGAGCTGTTTATGGATGTAATGTGCAACTTAATTAGCGATGTGGGGTATACCATTTTCAATTGCAAAAATAATTCCCTTTTGTAAAGGTACTACTTTTTTCCCAAAGGGACCACGTTTTTTGAACTGAAGGTACTAATTTTTTTTTTTTCCAAAGGTACCACGTTTTCTCTAAACACTTATTCATGGCGCTAATGGATTTATTTATGGATGTGATGTGCAACCTATTTAGCGGTGTGGGGTATAATACCATTTTCAACTGCAAAAATAAATTCCTTTTGCGAAGGTACCACTTTTTTTTTCCAAAGGTACAACATTTTTGAACTGAAGGTACTAGTTTTTGGCGTCAAGGTACCACATTTTTTCTAAACTATTCATGGCGCTAATAGAGGATGTAATGTGCAACTTAATTAGCGATGTGGGGTATACCATTTTCAATTGCAAAAATAAATCCCTTTTGTAAAGGTACTACTTTTTTCCCAAAGGGACCACGTTTTTTGAACTGAAGATACTAATTTTTTTTTTTCCAAAGGTACCACGTTTTCTCTAAACACTTATTCATGGCGCTAATGGATTTATTTATGGATGTAATGTGCAACCTATTTAGCGGTGTGGGGTATAATACCATTTTCAACTGCAAAAATAAATTCCTTTTGCGAAGGTACCACTTTTTTTCCAAAGGTACAACGTTTTTGAACTGAAGGTACTAGTTTTTGGCGTCAAGGTACCACATTTTTTCTAAACTATTCATGGCGCTAATAGAGGATGTAATGTGCAACTTAATTAGCGATGTGGGGTATACCATTTTCAATTGCAAAAATAAGTCCCTTTTGTAAAGGTACTACTTTTTTCCCAAAGGGACCACGTTTTTTGAACTGAAGGTACTTCTTTTTGGCGTCAAGGTACCACGTTTTCTCTAAACACTTATTCATAGCGCTAATGGATTTATTTATGGATGTAATGTGCAACCTATTTAGCGGTGTGGGGTATAATACCATTTTCAACTGCAAAAATAAATTCCTTTTGCGAAGGTACCACTTTTTTTTCCAAAGGTACTACGTTTTTGAACTGAAGGTACTCATTTTTGGCGTCAATGTACCACGTTTTCTCTAAACACTTATTCATGGCGCTAATGGAGCTGTTTGTGGATGTAATGTGCAACTTAATTAGCGATGTGGGGTGTAATACCATTTTCAATTGCAAAAATAGGTACCTTTTGTAAAGGTACCACTTTTTTCCTAATGGGACCACGTTTTTGAACTGAAGATACTTCTTTTTGGCGTCAAGGTACCACGTTTTCTCTAAGGAAGATCCAAACCAATTTTTCATTCGTTAAACTACCCATTTATCGACACCATGGAACCAAGGAAGATCCAAACCAATTTTTCATTCATTATAAACTGCTTCAGTTTTAAACTCCATCAAATTTGAAATTAGTACATTAATATAGTAGTGAAAGAAAATTCATTGAGACCCTAATATAAATAGGCCATACAATACTAATTCCTGAAAACCCAAAAGGGCAACTTCATTTGATTTCATGTAAGGTAGATGCCAGTATAATAAGCCATACAATAGTTGCAAAAATATACCAACCTAATCCACAATCAAAAGTTACAAAACTACTATTCTTTAAAACTTTAAAAATAGCTAACACCAACAGAGTGCAAAATACTTGCATAAAAAAATGACACTATTCAACATTACAAATGTCCCATATCCCACATCATTTCAGGTACCACTTTTTAGAAAATTCAGCGATCCTCCTATCCCACTTCCTCTAGCTTCCAACTGGGCAAATACTGGTATGTATTTCCTTGTTATGTGGTAAACCAATTTGTTGCCCTTATCCTTTGAAGACTAATCAGAGTCCTCTTGTTTGTGTATTTGATGGACATGCATTCTTTCTGTCTCTGTGTAGTTGGAACAAAATAACCACTTTGTCTCTGTGACTGTCACATGCAATAAAAATTAAAGTATTAAGGCATTGTATAATATTAATAAGGAACAAAAGCAATATAAAAACAGACAATTCGAAACTTTGAATAATAATAATAATTTTAAACAGAATCATCAAAATTAAAAAAGAATTTATAATTTGCCCAACACCCTGCAAGTGACCTCATTATCCAACCAACTTAGCAGTACTGCTATTTAAAACATGTTTGAACAATTACATAATAATTTTGAGTTTACTTAAGAGGTTGAATATTTCCATTGGAGCTCTTGACAAATATATCACATGGAAAAGTGCCAATGAACATTGAGCTATAGTACTAACAACTAATTTATACTAATAAATTGTTGTACAGCAAAAAATTATATTAGAAGTCGAGGAAATTACATCTTATACGCCTTGATGGATTAAGATGGAGATAGTGAGGTTCCTTGAGGTAAATGGTACCTTGTTGGCTGATGGAGGTGATGTTAGAATCATAAAAATAAAAAAAATAAAAAAATTTACTAACCACAAGTAAGCTGATGGAAGCTTACTTGAAATCAACATGCTTAACCAAATGGATAAAGTGCTTTGTTCTTTACAAAATCCTTCATTTTGTTATTGTCATCTGAAAGCAAATTTGAAGCAATAATTGCACGTAATCTATCAACGTCCACCTGCAAATTAAACCAGGTAAAGACAAATCATGAATATAGGATAGGGAAATGGACTTCATGCGTGAATACATATAAGTGTAAATAGATAGGAATCTAGTGTTGCAGAAACTATATATTTGATAAAGAAAACTTTTTCAACAATGTTGAATTTGGCATATGCACAAAATCTCGGTGATACTAAACTTTTTATATGTGAAATATTGCATAAACAGGTAGCTTCATCCTTGGGAAATATGTTAGCAATTTGGTCAGATCAGCACAGAGACAGAACATAAACAAAACCACAACAAATCTAATAATACGAAAGATCTCCCTGTCCCAAAATAGTTGTCCCTTTTTACTGATTCCAAACACTCAATGGCACGCACCTTTTTTCTGACATTCCAAAAGTAATCTTAAAGTGACTATTTATTTTGAAATTTTTTAATCATTCATTTCAATATGTCGTAGTTTCAGTATCTTTTATGTTCGGTTCATTTTTAATGAGCACCACTAAGTACAGTGAAGTGACCATATAAACTGCAATATGTTCATTTAAAATGACAGGAGTCCAGTATTTACGTATCTAATTGGTTAGGTGATGTAGGAAAAACAAGGTTGACTGATGATTTAAGCTACTGATCTCATACTGAATTCTTTGATAATGAAAAACTGTCTGAAAATATTTAAGAGTATGCTATTCATTTAAACCTCATCTAGCAAAGCTGGTTTCTACTCGATAGGACCCATTATACAGTGGATGTCAAACATTTTCTATATCATTCATTACATGGTTCATTTTATTGCTTACTTCATGTTAGATCCGTACTCACTAGAGTTGGATGCTTTCTCTTTCCAAAAAATGGCATACATTAAGGGTATACTGTATTAGGGGGTTCTAAGGTTGAAAATTTTGTTGCCTAAAGGGGGTGCTTACCGCTCTCTTTGTTTCAGCACGTGCCGTAGTCCCCTGGTCTTCCCGCTATTGAGACTACGACATTGCAGCCTAGCGGAGAGAAATCGGAGAGCGAAGTACTTGCACACAAACATGGGTTTAAAAGATGCAAAAAGAAAAAAGAAAGGTATAAGCTGGAAAACGTGTAAAAACAGAATGGGGAGTGCAGTGAAGAGGAAGGAAAACGTTATAGTGGATGCATTTTGTGGTTGTATTAATTTTTTAAATTATGTTTGCATGTATTGGAATTGAAGACCCTCCAATTTCAACCCTTGAACAAAAGTGTGTAGGAATGTGGATCAGTTTTACAAATATATTTTTTGAAACCTTTAAAGGCAAGACCCATTTCTTCCTTTGAAGACTAATGACCAGTGGTTGCTTAGATTAACAATGCACCAATGGTTTAGAAGAAAACAGAGAATTAAATGATTAACGAAGAGTATCGAGGAGATTGTGTGATTTAGTAATTCGGTATTTTCTTCATTCGGGAAAAAAATAAATAAGACCCATGTAAAAAATAGAATTGGGCTTCACCTTCTCTTTTGGGTGACTGAGTGAACCATCCCATTTCTCCATGAAGTCCAACATGAAAGCACCACAACTATCACTAAATAAAAGACTATTTAGGTATCTGTTAATTATAATTGTGAACATAATCAGTACACCAAACTAGGAACATTAAGTGATAAAATTACCTATCGGGCTGTTGAGGTACGTTGGGCACATTGTATATGAAGTTTTGTAGATCTCTTCCGGTGAATATCTCAACCAACATTACCTACAAATGCACAATATATAAATGATTAGAGTAAAAAATTCAGTACCACGTTCTTCAACTTGTATACTTTACCGTCCTAATTTAACAGTAAATGAATACATAATCAAAAAAATAAGCTCATATGTAATAAGCGTTTACCAAATCTTTTGACATCTTGTCTGGAGTACGCTTATCATGCGAACATTGCTTCATTGAATCCAACCCATCCATACGACTATCGCAAATGTTAAAGACATACAAGCACCAATGTTTCTCATTTACAAGTGTTGGAAAGAAAAACTGCATATTTAACAATGTAAAAATTTAATTACTTTTAGAATCATATTTTTTTGATAAAAGTATAACAATTATTTATGTTTCCAAGCGATAAATATTACCATATTGAATTGGCGAACTTTGTTATCATCGACATTCCTTATCCTTTTATACTTGTTCCAAACTGCTTGTATTTTACCCTTCCTATCAACCACTTTTGAAGGTATCTTGGAAAGTTCAATCTGAAAATGCACACAATTGATAACCTAATATGTGTCAAACAAACACTAATTATAGATAGAAGAATTTGTTACCCCAATCGAAGGCGGAAAGAAAAATTTAGTTCCTCTACGCTTTTGTTTCAACTGGAGCATTTGGCAATAGACTTCAACCACCTACAATGATCACATTTAAACCATTAATGCATGCGTGTGATTGGTTTGAAAAATCAATGAACTTTAAGTGAACATACCATATTTGATATCCAATGATTGTAAGAGATTGTTCTCATCTCTTTTCTTGTGAGGAAAATATCATTTATGTTCACCAGCATTTCACTATAATTAAACAATAACATATTAAGTGTTTGAGCATAGAAAGTAAGTAAATATAGAGCAAATAAGAAATTATTTATATAATTTCTCACTCATCATTTCTGCTCTCATCCATGGCATATGAGATGACTGCCTTTGCTTCTGGACGAAGGACACGCAATCGGTTGACCTTTATTTCAACCCAAGGTGATCCCTTATGGCGCCCAGGCTTTATAACACGTAATAAAGGGATCACTGCTTCCTGCACATCACGCTCCTCTTCCATTGCTGTGGAGGTTCCCACTTCCTCCTCCATTGGTGCGGGGATTTCTCCTTCCTCCTCTATGGGATCGTGTTTTGTAAAAGATTGCCAGGGTGAGTTTGCTTGTCTTGTGGAGGTTTCGAATTCCTCCTCCACTGGTATGTGGGATTCATCTTCCTCCTCCATCGGATGGTGTTGTGCAAACAATTGTGAAGATGGGTTAGGTTGTCGTGTGGATGAACTGGGTTCTGAGGATCTCGACCCCCTGCCTTGGCCTACATTGTGCCGTTGCTTCCATTTCTTAACAACTGTCATAATTTCATATGCCAACTCCTAACAATTTTAAACAAGTTTAATAAATATATATATCAGTTAATATATAAATGTAACCGTAGAGTTCCAAGTAATTATGAATATGCAAATATAACCGTATATTTAGTACCAATTATAAAAAGCCATAATTGACGTGATTACCTTATCGGCATCTTCAGATGTATCAGTTGTAAACTTTACCTCACCGAAGCCGAAACCATTATATTTACGCTTCTCCAAATTCAACCTCTCGCCTATTAATTTGTTGGTCCATCCACGTAGGCATGACATCTCAGGCTTCGGTTTTGGTCCATTGACATCCACACGGTGTAGGTAGAAAAGCTACAACATATAAGCCATTATGATAATGACATTATAGCTATTTAAAATAAAATGATAGACACATTACAAATATTATATCTTAGAACATACCATGAGAAAGAACAAGCATCCATGTATGTATGTACAACCTTCTCTTCCTTCCTTTCTTTTATAGGACGCAATTCATTTTTTCAACCAATCTAAAACAAACTTCCCCCAATTGTACGATTTAATAGCATCCACATTGTCAACCGCTGCCAATAACCTTTTGCTTGTCTCATTTTTCGATATGGGTGCTAGAAGTGATCCGCAAGCGAAAAGGACAAAAGCCCTCTTGAAGTCATCCCCAACAGGAAGAACGTCTAATTGATGCACTAAGTTTGGCACTTCTATTGCACCGTCCTTTAAAAAAATGCCATTTTCTAACCAATGCACACTTTGTACAATATAATTTGGCACATCTTCTCCTCTTCCCGAGGGTAGGCCAAGTACCTCTTCAACGTCACTTAGCGTAACATGGATCCAAGCGCCAGATTCAAGGGTGAGATGAGATGTTCTAGGGTCAAAGTGTTCTACCAACCATAAGCACAGGTTGCGGTTCAAAATGGTACACTCGATGTCTAAAAGGGACCCAAACCCAATCTCTTGTACGGCAACCTTTTTGTCTTCACTTAAATTGCAAACCGTTTCCTTGAATTTATTTGGAGAACACCGGGTATTCAACATCTACAAATAAATTACCAACACAGGCACATTAGATACAAAAAGGAAGGATAGAGCACATATATGGACATAACAGTCCAACTTAAATTTACCAATTTGCACTTCTACACATTACATGTTGAAAAGATTCAATCTCAAATCTGCTAGCTTACAAAGGCACTTGGGAGTACTCATATATTCCTAATTCATTAATTCAATACAAATTCTTCAGAATTAATCCAACTAAGCACGTTAATGATAGGTAAAACACACTAAAATAAGCATATATAAAGCATCACTTAACCCAATCGAATAGATAAAAGGAAAAAAAAAAAAACACTTACAGTTTTTATTTTTATTTCTTTTTTTGAAATTGTTCTAAAGTTCTTTTCCTTGGATGTTAATGGTCGTATGGTTTACCTAATAAGGGAAGGAGGAAGGATCCAATGTCCTCATACCATTTGTTATGGGAATAAAGGTTCTACCTCGTATTTTTAATTAGAGAATAACTCTAGGGGGTTTCGATTACCATTGGAAATGCTCAGCTCAGAGGATAAGTAATGGACCTTTTTGTTGATGATCTTATGTTAATCGCAGCTGGGATGTTGAATCTGTTAAAATACTGACAGAATCAATAGCTTAATTTAGTTTTAACTTCTATTTCTAGCTTAATTCCAAATAATGCAAAGAGGTGTCATATTCTGATCTGGTATAGAGACTGCTACTCAAAACCTAATTCTCAGAAAGCTTAATTTCTCTATTAGGACCCTCCCAATTAGATATTTGGGAGTTTCATTATTGTCTAATAGACTGAATAAGCAGCACTGTGATCCTTTAATTGAGGAGTTTTGGACTACCAACTACTCATTTTGTGCTGGAAGGTTACAACTTCTAAAGTCTATGCCATTCTCAGTGCAAGTTTATGTGGCTTCCACCTTTGAATCTAGGACATTCAAAATTCAAACACACAATCAATTACCAATTAAGCACCCAAATTGGCCCACAAATATTAATAACATCAGTTTCTCAAGTCAAATAAATAAGTTAAGAATTATCCTTTTTCAAATAAAGTTTTATGACAACACCATGATAATGATGATTTTTATTTTTGGGAAGCACTGGAAGTGTTTTTGTTGCTTCTACAACTGAATAACTACACAAATCTTTCAACCTTCAAACACAAAAACACACACACAAAAGAAAATAAAAAAATAAAAAAATGAAAATTTTGTTGTTTATATATTAATAAATTTTGTTACTTTATATTGTAGTTTGTTTCATATACAATTGGGTGCCTGTCTTAATTGACAGATTTATGCTTCATGCGGTTAACATCCAATTTATTATTAGCATGAAAAAAACTGGAATAAAAAATATATATATATATATATATTTAAATAATTAAAGATATGACTTACCAGTATGAAGTGATGAAAGCACTCTAAAATATGGTAAGACCGTAGGGTGCTGCAATTGTAAAAATTATAATCCACAATAAGGGCCTTCAGCTTGTTCAAGACTAAAGTTCAACCCAAATTTACCAATTAGTCTTTCAAATCCTACAAAGGGAGATCCTGTTTCAGTCATTATCTTCACAAATATTTATAACTAAAATTCATAAAAAATAAAAAAAAAGTATATAAAAAAGATCATAAAAAATTTCACCAAATAGGATTTAGTTTGCAAAACAAGAATTACAGTTACAAATCTCATAACAAGATAACCATAAACACGAGAAGCTAGAATGAACACGAACAGTCATCTTAAGACATATACACCAACTTATTAACTATTAATAGAAAATCGAACATGACACAGATATTTAAATTTATAAGTCCAGTCTTCATTTAAGCTGAGTCTTATGCAGTAGTTATGCTACAAAATAGGAACTACATGCTTTAGCTTTTATGTTACTATAATTATAAATTAAGGAAGGCTATTCTAAGTGTAAAGAAATAAGAAAGTGTGCATCAGAAACAAAGAAATAAAGAAAGAATTAATGAAAGAAAATAGAGTTAGCATGCTTAGGAATGCAAGGCTCTCTTCAAACTGGCAACTGTATGCTAAACTAAAAACTACTTCAACCTTGTTTTCTTTAGATATACTCTTGTTGAAACTCAGAATTTGTAATTTGGTGGTTTGACAAATCTCACACATACATGTTACTTTCACAAAAATAAGTGTACATGAGTCCAGTTAACTGATGGGAGATTTTCTGATGACGTTTTCTTGAGTCTCCGTTCAAGTTTCAAGCTTAAATAATTTATCCTATCATGAATTTATAAATAAGGTCACATCAAATCCAACTTCTAAATATTAATTTTTTTGTCTTTCTTAAAGGGCAATAAGAAAATTGAAGACCCAATCAGGGTCATCTCTCTTTTCTACATTTCGATCAGCAAAAGGAGAAAAGGTTTTGGAAGTGGAAGGGACAATCACCAGCCAGCCGGTTCTTCAAGATGTGGGAATTTCTACATGGCCTAGTATATTTTTGTGATAGTTCAACTCTTTAGTATTCAAAATGCTACTTTATATATATATATTTGATATAAAAAAAAAAAAGGGGGTCAGGTGACATGGTGAAAGCTTAAACTGGCCACTATAAGGAGACATATTTAAGTATGAGATCAGCCATTTCGTAGGCTGTAAACAAGCTAAGTCAAGCCAACTTTATAGAGCTTATGCTCAGCTTGGCTGGTTAGAAGCAGTGTCTGAGCTTAGTTTGAGCTTGGTTAATTTTTGAACAGTTGTGATCAAACTTGACTCACTCAAATAAACCAATTACTCAGCTCGGTTCGCATAAATCAATTGAGTTCTTAAGAAGTTCTGGAGGATGGGAAATTTGGAGCCTTGTTATCATAATTGTTAGTCAAAATAAAATACGCGCGTCATGCTTTGCAACTTCTCACTGTTGGAGCAAAAGATTGAGAAAGTGTGTCTGTGTGACTGTAGATTCTTAGTTTTAATTGTTGATTAAATTTGGACCATTGACTTCTTTTTCTGTAAACAAATGAATATCAAATCTAAAAGATAGGTGAAACGCATGAAAAACTTAAATTAACAGGATAATCTGCCAAGGAATGCTCTACGATGTCTCTAAATGCTAGTTCAAAGTTTCAAATTATGTATCCACATAAGGTATAAAGGAAAAAACAATCATGAGACTTGCTACATCAACAATATTCAAACATATATACAATAATAACAACGAAATAGTAAAAAAAGGTTCAATAATTGCTGTACTACTTTCACAAGTGATTGAAATTTGCAATAAACTGTACATTATGCATAAAAAGGCTTTCTAATAACTATTGAAAAATCTGAAAATTTGGATACAAGTCCATTCAACCAATCTTTTCCTAAGTCCTTATACTTTATCCTATGTTTGGTTGCCAAGAAATTGGGAAAACAAGAAGAAATTAGGAAACATGGAATCTTGTAACAATTCTACTCCTTTATAGAAACTTGTTAATCTTAAAGTTTTTCTTCTTTCCTTATTTTCTCTGCTACCAAATAATGGACAATTCAAAATTGTTGTGTTCTAGCCTAATTTAAGCTACATCTTAACTTAAAAAGTCCAAGCAATGACTTAAACTTTTATAAAAGATTGGGATGATCAATACCAAAGTCCATGCCTTCTAGCAAACAAATTTAATGACATAGCTAGCCCTTTGTCCTACATTGTTAATTCTCAACATACACAAAGAAACATCATCCACATATGCTACAAAATGAAATTTTGCATATACACCATTATTAGTAAGACAAATCCAACAAAATGAGATTAATTAATCAACAATAATCTACTTATCCTAAATTATTTTTTCAGTCAACTTGTTCAT